TCCCCACCACCATTTCCGATGGCACAGCTGCTGGACTCGCGCCACCCCATCTCCTAGCAAACGCTACACCTCCCCCATCCACTACTCACATGAAGACTTCGATCGTGATGTCCACGCGTCCCGTGACCACTCATCTCGTCGCCAAACATCCCACGGCCGCATCTCCTACGACCGCCCCTCCCACGCATCCCTTGACCACAGAGCCACGAGTCCCAAGTCAAACCACGTTTATTGTGGCCCCCGCGACCCAACTGCCGTCGGCGAAACACGACAGCGTTTCGGAACCGGACGGCGCTGCCGACGAACCCTCGTCGCTCACCCGCAAAGTGCGGACCGCAATGAAGCATATTTGGGGGCGCTTTCTACTAGCCGTCGACCGACCGAGTGCACGACCGGATCCCGCAGGGCACTCCGCGAACCCACCCGCCGGGAGTTCGAATCTGCCAGCGGCCAAATCGAACCTGATCGCGGAACCGGAGACCCCGAGACTGGAGACCCCGAGGCCGGAGACCCTGGGATCAGTCGAAAGGCCCGTGTTCACTGCGCGGTTGGACGAGGGGACGGTAGCCGGGGAGCGGCACTCGGCAACTGGCGCGTTGCGGACACCCGAGGGCACCGAAGCGGTGCAGGTCGTCAGCCACGACCTGGACAGCCACGACCTGGCAGAGGAACAAGCCGGGGTGGAGCCAAGGAGCGTGGAGCCGCGGAGCGTGGAAAGAGAAGGGAGGCTGTCGCGGTTTATGCAGCGTCGGATTCAGTATGAAAGAGAGATGGCTACGGAGATCAAGAAGATGGCCGGTCTGCCCAAGCCACGGGTGCCTTCCTGGGGGGTGGTGGCTGCGCCCTCCGTGATGACTGTGGACGACGGTCTCCGGGATGGGGGACTAGGGGAGGGGGATATGGCCGACGGTAGAGCTGTGGAAGCGAGTGGTTCGGTGGTCGGGTGGCTGGGGTCCAGTTGGATTGAGGAGAAGTGGGAGCGGTTGTTGGACGCGTTGGAGCGTGCTGAGATGGGCGTGCGGGAGTGGTACCGCCAGTGTCTGGTTGATCCGAGAAGGTTCCTCATTGCGTTTGGGATGGCGATGTATGCTTACGGCCCCGTGGAGAACATGTTGTGTGTGGGCTACACTGCGACCAAGGAAGCTCGAGCATCTGCATGTACTGTCACCTTGGGTGCGGTCGCCTGGATCCTCCCTTTGTTCGCGCTGACCGCTTTCTATACCAACAACGGTACTTGGGACCCCTGGTTCGATACCGACAACTGGCTACTCAGTCTAGGGTTCGCCGCCTTCCTTGCGGGCCTCTTTCTCAAATTCCCTTTCCACCTCTTCCCCGTCGTCAACGCCATACAAGACCACCTTGGCACCTACCCTCCCGCCGGCTTCCTCCCCAACCCCATCATCGTCCATGACGAGGCGCTCGACGTCGCCAACTGGACAGGAAACGACCAACTCCGAGAGGCCACACAACCACCCAGGTGCGCACACTGCAAAGTCGAAAAAGCCAGAACTTTAGTCTTCATCAAAGCTTCTCTCGTACTGACCCACCTTCCTTCCTTACCCTTTCATGACTTCTTCCTCACCCCTTCCTTACCCCGTCCTGCCACCTTCCAGGCCCACCTGACACTCCCTGGCGCCTTCCGGGTTGACACCTTTGCCGTGACCCGACGACTTCGCGGCTGAAAACTACCCATGCAGGTCTTATTCTGTATTTTACTTGCCATCACTAACCCGTTCGATGTACCGACCTTCATGGCCTTGATTGGCGGAAGCTGCACACTGCCCTTGGTAACTGCGCTCCCGTCGTTCCTGGCGTTGTTGCCGTCGAGAGGATACTCGTCAGGTAGACAGGAGCCGCTCTGCTCACAGGTCCTGTGCGATTTGGTCAGCCTTGTCATAGCTTTGGGTCTTAGCTGGACTGTAACCTACTGCATACTGTTCCTTTAACGGAGGAACCCGGTGCTGGAACTAGCTGGAAGGGAACTAAGCTGATGGGAGCTCTCTTCCTAGAAGCTTTCCAGATGTTCTCCCGGTCTTGAGGGGTAATGGTGTTCCCTCGTGGGTATTAGTTTCTCCCGCTGCTTCCTCCTGTTGCTTCCTCCCGGATGCTGAGACCAAGCTGTTTGGTCAGCATACCGCCTTAGCTAGATACTTTTCGGAGCGGTCGTTCCCTCGGGGAACGATCGTTTCCTTCGGGAGCGGTGAGGTCATGCTAAAATGTGACGCACCGCCGAACGTTCTGCACCCGTGGAACCACCCGGACCTATCGAACCGTTCCGTCGAACCGATCGGCCGTTGTCGAGTCCCCCTGCCGGCCTGTTGGCCGGGGTGAAGCAATTAAAATTATGACGACTCCTGCACCCGAGAGTTTGATTGGCGAGGCCGAGGCCCGAGGGGAGTTGCTGGCTGACCTACAGTGGGAGCACTTGGAGTTGAAGAATTCATTGCTGAAGGCGGTTCGGGTGAAGGGGTTTGCGAAGCCTACAATCATTCAAGCGAAGGCGTTGGGCATCATTTTGGCTTCGAATGAGAATTTCATCGGGCAGGCAAAGAATGGTAGTGGGAAGACTGCGGCCTTCTCACTGGCGGCCCTGAGTAAAGTGGACGAGCGAGAAGCACGATGCCAGGCGCTAATTATAGCCCCAGCCCGGGAATTAGCGCAACAGAACTTGGACGTCTTGCGAGACCTAGGGCAATTTACGGAAGTGAAAGTCGAGCTGGGGTGTCCTCCACTGCAGTCTCCGCCCCGCGCTCACATTATTTCTGGAACACCCGGTAAGATTGAAGATTGGCTTCGACGGGGCGCTCTAGACGGTTCCGCCATCAAAATTGTCGTCTTGGACGAGGCCGATACCATGCTGGACGGCGCAGACTCAAACAGCATGGCCGCGACTATGATGAAAATCGTCAAGAAGTGCCCGAACGCGCAACGGCTATTATTTAGCGCAACGTTTCCAAAACGTGTGCGCGCGTTTTCGCAATCGATCGCGCCGAACGCCCATAGAGCGACTTTAAAGAAAACGGATTTGAAAGTGTCTAGTCTCTGTCAGCTTTGGTCTAGTTTAAGTTCAGACAATTACGGAGCGAAGAATGAAGCTGTTAGCTCCGTTTTCAACCTGCTCACCGCTGGCCAAGGCATTGTCTTCTGCAATACCATTCGCGGCGCGGATCAGCTGGCCAATTTTATGAAGCAACAGGGTTTCTCAGTCACGCTTCTGGTGGGTCGTAACGTTAGTCCGAGCGAACGTGACGAGCGAATGAAGGAATTCAGAAACAAGACAACGACCATCTTAGTTACCACCGATGTGCTCGCTCGAGGTATAGATGTGCCCGCTGTCAATCTCGTGGTGAACTATGATATGCCCGTGCTGTATGAAAACGGTCAACGCACTGATCAAGCAGCCACCGAAACCTACCTTCACCGCGTGGGACGCGCCGGGCGCATGGGCCGCCGTGGCTTCTCCCTTTCCTTTATAGCTAACCCGGAAGAGAAGCTGCTGTTGGAACAAGTTGCGCAAGAGTATGATTTGCCAATCCACGAAATACCGTCAGACTACATGCAGTTGCGCGAGCTGCTTAGGACATTGGAGAGGGAGAATGGAACCGGCGAAGGCGGCCAAGACTAGACAGCGCAATCATTGAACATCCTAGTCGCTGTAGAACAGTGGAATCGCTGTAGAACAGCGAGTCGCCACACAATAGTTACAAAAATATTTTATTGCCGGCGCGCCTCGCCCCCACCGCGTGTGCGCACACGCGTGTGCTGCGCGCTAGCTAACTACAATATCAAGACATCACGCTTACGATCTTTTGACTGATCTATTTTTTATTACATGGGATGGGAAAAGAGGATGCGTGGATGCTGGGAAGAGGGGGGGAATCAACAGCATTGCTGGAGGAGCAGCTTGCAATGGCGCGAGCGGAAGCTGAGTTTTGGAGGACGAAATGGCAACTCGAAAGAGTGAGTAACACTGGTCTCGTGCGGGTTCTCTCGGGTGGTTCTGTCGCACCGACTCTTGCGGCTGTCCCCTGCGGTCCTCTCATCATGATCCTTATAGCAAAAGTTCCACCGGTTGAAATCGGCTGTTTCGCAACTCATCTCCGCCATGCGCGATGAAACGGGTGGTAGTGTAGCGGATGATCTTGAAGATTGCCTGGACGGCCGTCGCGGTGCGGGAGCCAGCGAATCGGCTGCCGCCGGGCTGTCTCCGCCGACATCGGCTCCCCCAGCGTCCACGGCCCCAGCGTCGCCTCCACTGGGCACGGCCACGTCCCACGACCCACCTGGGACGAGCCGCGACTTTCGCCGGAAATTTATCAACGCGCTTCTTGAAGAGGAACGCCAAGCGGCCAAACGCAAGTCCTAACTCCGACCGGGCCTTGGTCTGTGACCGGTACTTGGTTGATCTCGGGTCGGGTCTTAATCACGGGTCGGATCTTAATCTCGTGCCGGATCTCAATATCCGGCCGGATCTCCCTCTCGGGCTTCATCTCGGGCTGGATAGTCAGTCATCTCAGGCTGGACCTCAACCTTGGTCCAGACCTCATCTCAGGCTGGACCTCACCCTTGGTCCAGACCTCAATCTCCGGCCTCTACGTAGACGTCTCTGCCTGGACGGCCCAACCTACTTAGAGACCGCCCAACTGACCTAGACGATCACGGAAGCCCCGAATGGCGATGGGTGACTGCTGATGCTGTCTATAGGAATTCAAACGGGGTTTGCCGAAACTGAGCTGTATATACTCCCACCCCATGTGGCCTTACCCGGCATAGAATCTTCTGAAATGCTCGGACGCCGGAACATCTGCGGTGGAGATTCCATCATTTGGATGGTCGCAGCCGACTCGTCCACTATGTCCTCTTTATGTCGCCACTTTTCGCGAGCACGCCTCATTCGACTAAAAATACCACTTTTTCCAGATCAGGACATAGGAATGAGGTCAGGAAGGGGAAATAGAAATTACGCTTTGTCAATGATAATCCACTCGCAGCATATGGATTCAGAATCTTCTTTAGGGCGCACCCTCTGAGTTATATATTCGAAAGTTGTCCAACCTATTCAAGGAAATTCGGGGGTCAGTGATGTTCAATATGCGTGCCCTATGCAGTGCCGTATGTATGCAGTGCCATATGTGTGGTTACGCTGCGTTCGGTGTGGTGCTTCAGTCACGGCACCTAGGTGCGGCGAAGTCATTCACCTCAAGCTTACCTTTGGAAGCCAGGTAGGTGTGGAGAAGGACTAGCTGCAAGTCTAGTCCGAAGAAAGGTACATTAAGAATTATGAGAATAGCTTGAATCACGTAGAGCACTGCAGCTGGCGGCGGGGAAGCCATGTTGTACCGGGCAGTCCAGGTCTCGTTGAGTCTACCTTGAGCGACCATGACTATTGACACGACTGTATAGACTAAGAGCGTCAGCGCCAGGAGAGCTACACACACAATTAGGGAAAAGAACCATCTGAAAAACGGGAGGTACATTGTGGTAATGGACATTGTGGTAATGGACATTGTGGTGATGGACATTGCGGTGATGGACATTGCGGTGATGGACATTGTCGGCAGGAGGAGAGGAGTTGGTGGGAGGTACTTGTAGTTTTTGCGACCGATGCAGTTATTAAGCCATTTGCAGTGGTGGTCGAAGCGGGCGACGCATTTGTTGCATGAGCGGCAGTGTTTGGAGTCGACATCTACGGCGCCGCAGAGGTCGCACTGGACGTAGGTTTCCGGAGGTCCCTTAAGCACGGCGTCGTTTTTGTCTAGGAGGAAGACGAGGTCGTCTGAGGGATCCATTCGGGTGACAATACCCGCGACGACGAGGGTGGCGAGGGCCACGATAGCGAAGAGTCCGTAGAAGGACTGAGCGGCGGTGGTCGGTAGGGTGGGGGGTAGGCAGACGAAGCCGAGAACAAGATCTAGTGTGAAGAAGACCCAACTCGCTACCTGCAGGGGGTTGTACGGGCGTTCGAATCCGTGCCTGCGACAAAACTCCAACTGGTCGCGACTCCCAGCCAAGTCTCCGCCCGGCAAACAACACGCCTGAGGACCCTTCCGCCGAAACTGCTGCTTCTTCCACTCGTGCTGCAAACGCGCCACTTCCCCTGCATCCCCCGCCGGAAACCGAGAGCAGATTCCGCGCCGCTGGTGAGCCGTCGATAGCCAGGTCTGCGTTACCTCGACCTCATCAGGCATCAATTCTTTTGTACTTAAAAACCGGCCTCCTAGAACCGCCCCCCTCTCAACCACCTCCTTGCCCAGGAGGCCAACAAAAGATTTCCAAGCCACGACCTTGGCCGGCCGCTAGGTCCCGGCTGCCGGGTCGTAGCCGCTAATATATAGTCCTGTGCTAATTCCCTCGCTCGGACGCAAAACATCCATCAGCGTTTGCTGTTGGGTCACTAGCCCAGCCCAGCCCAGCCCAGCCCGGCCACAGACGCCCAGCCCGGACACCGACGTCCAGCCCGGCCATGGACGCTCAGGTCTTAGTCAGCGTGTTCATCTTCGCTAATTAATTCAATGGACTCTGGAAGTCTGTCGTTTAGGACGGGTGGGGCGCTGATGCTTTCGAGGCGTTCTAGTTCGGTCAGGAAGGTGTCGATTTCGCCTTCGTTGAGGGGGCCGGCGAGGAGGGCGGTGTGGTGGGCAATGACGGAAAGGGATACACCGTTTTCAGTCAGGCGTGTGCCAACATTCGTGGGGTCGACACAGAGGTGGCCGGTGAGGAGATCCATCCAGATCTTGACAGAGCGGCGGCCGCAATAAGACAGCTCCAGGTGCAATCCGGTGATGGCTGACGACCAGTCCTTCCACTTACCAATCAAACACGAAAGCGCCTCAAGTGCCATGAACGCCAAAATGTCGCAAGAGGTAGATATCCACATCGTCAAGTCCAAGTACATGCCCCCGAATCCACGCACCGTTGACGATGAGGCCGTCTGGAATGCCAACGTCTCATCATGCACGTAAAAATACTTGGTCTGACTTTGACGCGCGACCAGTCGAACAACGCGCTGCAAATTTGCCCTCTTCTCTGCTTTCGTCGCACCCTTCGGCTTCGTCGAAACTTCTTCGCCCACCGTACCCCGCAGCCGCACTCCTCCCTGCTCCACGAGGTCCCGGAAGGGCGAACTTTTCGACGGAGAACTCCGTAGATTCTCCGCGGACACATCCCTCACATTTAGATCGACATTACCTGTGGGCATATCACCAGCGGGATTGTTGACTAGCGGCACGGACCCTGCCTGCATGTTGCCTGCCTGCATGTTGGCTGTCGGAGTTGGCTGGACATTGTGGTGAATCACGGGTTGCTGTTCGACTGGCATGGTTTGTTCTTCCGGTTGTTGGGTTGCAGGTAGGTTCTGGACGAGAGGTTGTTTTTCGGGTTGTTCTTCAACAAGTTCTTCGGGAGCCATAAACTGTTGTATTAGACCGTGTAGTGGTTCAAGTTGGACGAAGAGTTCGGCTTGTGCCTGGTCTAGGCCGAAGGTGAGCCGACAGATGCCGGTGTGCGTACTGCCTAGGGCTGCTTCAAATAGGGCTTGGGGTAATCCTGGTAGGAAATCTATATCGACATAGTCGGTGTGTGTGGGCATGGCGTTCGGGGGGAAGAGGCAGGCGAAGGGTATGGAATCATCGCCTTCTTCGGCCAGTGACGGTCCTTCAGTGGGGGGCGTGGGGAAGTATTTTTTGAAGAGTTTAGCCCAACGGGTGGTCTTTTGTTTAGTCCTTTTCGGCCGATTCTCTTTCCACTCACGTACGTAAATAACCCCACCGGGTGCTGCGGTACACCTGCACATATTACGGGCCTGGTCGCGCAATATAAGCAGAGCGGAATACCGGGCAATACGTGCGGCAAGGAGTACAATAAAGCGATAAAACTCAAGGGTAAATTCGCCGCCTTCAATACTGCGATATTCTTTCCGCTCACGCACAAGTTTGTCAATACATAATTTCTCCATTCGCCATAGCGACTGGTATAACTGCCGGGTTAGATCGTCTAGCTGCACCGTACTCACATCCTCCTTCTTGCCCTCCGCTTCGGCCTCCTCAAACAAATGATCGTTTTCGTCGCGATGAATGTCCAAATTTGTGGTCAACTTGTTCTTGTCTGCCTCCAACGTGCCGGCCTGCAACACCGCCTGGAACGGATCGCGTTCCAAAATTTGGTCTAATTGGTCTCGCTGGATTGTGGTCTTATCACTAAGGGCAAGCCAACGTGCTAGGACGCGCAGGTCGCGAGCTTTCTCCCGGGTTTCCTTGCTCGCATTGATCAATGCTTTCCAGCTGTTCACCTCGTAAAGCGCTCGAGACTTGAGATTCTCCACCGTCTCGATGACTACATTGCAAGCGCTCTGCAGGGTGTTTCCACCCATGATGTCGAGTTCGGGGGAAACGCCGTAGCCCAAGCCTTCGCCTACAGATACGCGAAAACGTTCGAATTGGAAATGCCGGAAATCAGTGAGGAAGGTGACTTGGAACTCCCCTTGGCTCTCCAGATGGACGCGACCCATTTCAAGTTTGAAGGTGACAAAATTAAGAGTAGTCTCCACCTTGCGACTTTCACTCAAAGCCAACGCATAGTCCGAACGAATGATGCTGGTTAGTCGACGGCCGATGCGTTTCCGGGCTATTAAGGGCAACCGGATGTTACGTACTGCGTCCACTGCGTTACTACTACACTGCTCCACTGCCAATTGCGCATACTTGGGCAAAGTCCTCGGGTTCGCACCCGTCAACACGTTTACTGCTGTCGTCAGGGCCCACGGCGGTTGCGGCGGTGGAAAGGCCCCCATCGGCGGCCACTGAATCTCGAAAAACTCCTGAGCACGTCGTCGCACCGTCTCCCGTGCGTCCCACATCGCTGCACCCACCTGAACCACATCACATATCGCCGCCGCGTCCTCCTGCAAACTAACCAGCACTACACATTTCAGATACAACTCTCGTAGTACGCGCACACGCTCCCACAGGTCTTGTCGCAAATTTGAACCCACCGACAACTCCTGCGTCTGACTTCTTTCAGCAATGTCCTTTATCACATCCTGCGCCTCCCGACACACACTATTCAACAAACGACCAAGGTTCTGGGTCTGTGTTGTCTGAATGTACGTGTCCTTCAACCCGAAGTCCAACAACACCATTTTTCACTGAGGAAACCAAAGGCCTCCTGCGTCCCCATCTTTTCAACCCAACCACACCCAAAATACCCAACTGGACTTCCAGCTGTTGTCAGCCCGCCATCAGACAGACCACAACGTCAAGCCACCGCTCGTCGGGCCACGCGACATTCCCCGCCCTAGGTCCAATTTTTTTTGGAGGCCTACGACGATGAATATCTACCTTGTACGTATGGAACATCCTGACGGACCTGAATGGGATCAGTTCGTTAGAGAGCATGTCATGTACCTGCACAAATTGATTGAGGAGAAAAAGCTAATTGCTTCAGGACCAATCAAGGGGTCCACACTCCGGGCTGGCTTCCTTATCTTTATGGCCGAAGACGTTGATGAAGTTAACGAGATGATTAAGGGAGACCCCTTCACCCGGGAAGGTCTGATTGTGAAGTTGGACATTGAGCAGTGGGATCCCCTATTCGGTAGGCTTGCTGACCTTTCGTCTGGCCCAGTCGCCTAATTAGAACGACCCCGGCGGAGCCGTTCACGGGCGCAGTCCAATGGTGCAGATACGCAGGATGGATAACTCGGGACTTGCCAGACGGTGAGGGCGGTGGCCCATTTTGTTTGGTTGGCACATAACAATTCATCTTGTCCTTGGACAGCTCCCTTGCCTGGATAAATGCATTACCACACACTAAGCGTGCGGCGTGAGTCTTCGCGCATTGTTCACACTGTTCAGCAAGGTTCCGGGTTTTGAGCCAGAAATGCAACCTAACATTTTTCCATGAGGAAATTGACTCCCCGGGCTGCTGCCGCTGCCGCATACCTTTGGAGTCAGGCCCCTAAGTGCCCCCTTGACAACCCATTTTCGACTAGCGAGACCCTCTCCGGCACCCAACAAAGTAATTATTTCCGCTATCACTTCCAGAGTCACCCGCAGATCTTCTTTCCAACCAATTACTACTCAGGCGACTGCCCGTGACACACACGCTTTTCGACCTCTACGACCACCCCTACTACTACAAGGATTACTACAGCGCTCACTACGACCTTGATCTCCCATACTACAGCCATGGTTACAAATACCAGGATGAGTATATCCTGC